ATATTATTTTCAATTAGGGTGGTTTTACTTTTCCAGACTTGCACCTCTCATCCATCATCAGAACTATTATATTTATAAGTGGAATTTTTATTGATAGTTTTTTTTCTGGTTTATTCCTTTTTAGGTGGTATCACTTTGATGATGCATATGTAAGTGCCTCATCCACAAGACGTGCCTTACCTGAGACAGCATATATTCTCTGGTATCAGCAGAAAGTGGAGGTCAAAACCAACTCAACTTTACTAGATTCTTTGTCTGAATCTGTGTTGAGATGCCAGTTTCCTCCAAATCCTGTCCCTGCTGATGCTTCTCCCAAGGGCATGGAAGACGAAAGAAGTAGTAGTCCTCTTTCACCTGAAACTGCCTCTCCTCCACCAGTGCTGTCTAGTGACCTGGCTCCTCAAGCTATGGATGGAGAAGTTAATATACCATTCTGTCCTAAGACTTCTCCACCAAGTCCAGCTGGTCATGTCAGTCCCCCCCCTCCTGCTGATTCTATTACTGTACCTCAAGACAGGAGAGTGCCAAAACTTATTATTAAATTCACTGCATTAGTTTCCAAAGATTCAGAAGATAATCAGTCAGAAAAATACATTGAGTGGTCCAAAGTAAGTAAAACACAATTTAGTATACACACCATTTTTATTTATGTAATGTCTATGACTTATGAATGATGTGATTTTTTAAAATCTGACACAGCCTGAAAGTACTTTTATTCAACCTGCACCACCTAAACGACGAAAGATTGGCCTTGATGACGAAGACCCTCTAATCAAAAAAGGTGATATACCAGGAGCCAATCTTGACATTAGCAAAATCGGGGATGCTAGAAGGCCTCAATTGGAGAAGTGGCTGAAAACCCATGGCCTGCCAATTACTGGTAAAACGGATGAATTAATTCATAGGTAAATCAGAAACCCTTTTTGGTGTGCTGACAGTAAAAATAACACACAGCATCTGAAAATGTTAAATATTGTTACAGAATCCTGAAACATGATGAAATGGGTAAAGGTGAGAAAATAGACCCTAGTTTTGAGAGTGGAAAATGGCATGAGAAAAAAAAAGAGAGAAGCCTGGGTAGGTATTTTTTTTAAGCCACTATTCCAATACGGCGCATTGAAATTTTTGTAAGTAAATCCTTCTTTTGAATTTGCAGGATAAATCAGGAGTCCATGACAACCTGCCCATGCCTCCAGTGGGTACTAAAGTTTGGAACCCATTTCCTAGTTTACGTGTACCAGAGGGTTTCACATATTACAAAATACTTGAATATTTTGAAGACATCCCTGCTTGTGATTATTCAACCAAGACAGGAGTTGTCAGCGCCCCGGAGGAAGTTCCTGTTCTCCATCATGATTCAGACTCTGATGCTGATGAGGACGACCCAGAATGTCACATTGTGAAGTCTCAAGATATGACATTTACTGATCTTTGCCGGAGGGCTGTAATGAAAGCAATCATGAAAGGCGAGCAATTTGTTGCTAGTGGACGAGTTGGGGCAATGACCGATACAATGAAGAATCAATATTATTACATCAAAGCTCAGGTGCAAGCTTCAATGGAGCTTACTCTTTATACAGTTCAGGTGTGCATTGAGATTGAAAGTGGCGACATTATTTATGTCACTTGTTGCTGCAAAACACAGAACATTCACCGATGTGGCCACATAGCTGCTGTTCTAATCTTGGTGTGGAGGCATGTTGCTACTGGAAATGAAGGTAATTATAAATCTTATAAATTAATTATTCAATTTATTTCTACAACAAAATTACAAAAGGGACAAAATTTTTGACATCAGTATATGCAATGCAGAGGCTGTTGAAGTTCTTGGTGTGAAAGAGGCAATTCATTTCAGCTGTGCTTTTTTTTTTTGCTGACCTTTTCTTGGTTTTCCATCTAATAAAGGGGTCTGCAAAATTAACTAAATTTGCACAAACCCTGAAACAATCTGATACTAAATCTAAGTAGGTGTTTGGTACACCCTGTCTAAGAAATTTGAAATGCTTAATTCTTCCTATGACTGTTTCTACATGAATTCTTGATGTGGCTATAGACTTTGCAAGAAGTACTTCTCTCTGTGTGAATGCAGGTCTATCCACAAGAAAAGGGGGTTTTAGTAAATCTACCCCAATGTCATTCAGATCAGCTTCAATATCAAAACCTCTGTCTGCCATCACAGATTCACCAGCCTGTAGATATTTCATTATACCAGATTGAAGAAACAATTTTCTGTCAGAAACATTTCCTTCCATGCCTTCGCTTACAAATGAAATGCCTCCATATAGGGAGGAGGCAACAAGAACCTTGACAACATTCCCTCCCTTGTACGTGTTGTAGGTGTTAGTCTGCTGACCCATATCTTTAGGCTTCTGCATTTTAATATCCGTGGAATCTACTACACATCGTAGATTAGGGAATGGTTTGTAACAGTCAGGTTTATTTTCATCCTCAGCAGTTACAGGCACAAAAATAGCCTCTTCCATAGATTTAAATTTAGTGGCCATGATTCTTATCCACGATGTAAATATGTTGCTGATGTGTGTAATGCAAATCACACATCTTCTCCATCCATGTCCTTAAGAGAATATCCCCTTCTCAACCGAACCAGGGTGAGGAATAATTTCTCCTCATTAGAGTGAGAAGAGTACTGCTCACCCTTGGGCGTGACAGCATTTGCTCGGTACTTGATATGTTCAAGACCCTCTCCTCCAAGTAACTCAAACAACACCCTGAAGGCTCCTCTACTGAGTCCTGTGTAGTATCGGAAATCTTCATCTTTCCATCCATAACTTGCCCGGAGGGAGATAATGGGTATTTTCACTTGCACTTCATACCCACGGAATGACCGCTCCCATTGTGTTGCAACATCTTGGACATGCGTAGGCTGCTTCTCTTTATGATGTCCTCCCTCTTGTCTCTCCTCATGTTCTCCCTTATTGCATTCTTCTTCAGGTGACATTGATGGCGCACGAATAGGGATTTTAATTTTCCGGAAAACTATTTTTTGGAAAAATTTCCCGGAAATTTTTCCAATTTTTCCGAAAAATTTGGAAAAATTGGAAAAATACGGTTTTTCTCTTATTCCAAAGTAATAGCCATGTTCCAAGTACGCCGATCACTTTCGGATTCATTTAAGTACAAACCGCGTGCTCAGTGTGTTTTTCCTAACGATCAGAACCCAAAACTATGGCTAATACGCGACTTCTCGCACCCACGCCATCATTGCTGTTGTCAATCGTCAGTTTTGGTCCATCGCATCTATATTTGTGATACTTTCATCACAAAAGTTCGCAGTGACGGCAGTGACTCAGCTTAAAGCCTTCGATTTATCGCTTTTCTAGACGTGATGACTTTTTATCCCCAATATACATTATGCAATTTAAAAAAATGTGCGTTTTATCGCAAGTTTACTGGGAAAACATAGTAACCGCTTTAGTTAGATAATAAACTTTTGCAATGAAAAATTATCACATAGTTTTAGTGAATGCTTTCCAATAAACTTGCGATTGCTTTGATAGATTGAGATAAAAAATCATAATGTCCATAAGAGCGATAAATTGAAGGTACCACAAAACACGAATTATGAAAGAAATTTGGGTTAATTTATCACAAAAATCTAGATTCAGTGGTGTGTAGGTTGACATTTGATTTTCTGCTTTGATTAAAACTTTGACTTACACATTCTTAAAAAAAAGAATGTTGATTATATCCATATAACGCTGCTCTACAATTCAGAAAACACACATTACCGCGTTGGACATTGTACCATATTGTCACTATAAAATATGTCACTCAGCAAATTCTAAACACTCAGAAAAATATTTTTCCGTATTTTTCCTGGAAATTTATGGCTTGGAAAAATTTCCAACTTTTCCGGAAATTTTTCAAATTTTTCCGGTAATTTTCCGACCTGCAAATCCCTACGCACGAATTTCATCCTGTAAGGCAAATATTAATGTGAGTTGCAATTATATTAATTTTTCACTTTCTTTACAGCTGTGACTACAACTGGTCGGGAATGCTACTGGAGAGGGGGACCGACTGGAAGGGACCCTGGATTTGTTTCTGTGAAGCAATATCCAT